ATAAAATAAAGTATCAAAAAGGCCACTGGAAGGGAAGGTTCCTTTCTGAGTTAGCATAGTTTTCCGTTTGCTTGCTCTCTGAGACAGCTGAAGCCCATTCTCTCAAGTGCCTTCTGTCACAAACCCGCAGTCTCACTCAACCTCTACCATTAGGAGAATATCTGTCATGGTTTTCAAGCTAGACCTATGAACTTGTTGGAGTACTTTAAAGGCAAAAAAAGGGGGGGGGGGGGGGGTCCTGTGCTACCTGTTTTGAAGATGTAATCTTTTTTTTTTTTTTTTAATGCTACTTTGCAAAAATGTCCTCCCGAGCTTGGGAAGGAAAGGACAGATTTCACCAAGGGAACAGAAACAAGCTCAAGTAGGCAGAAAATGGATGGGGCTTCATTGAAAATGCCCTGAAATAGAGAAATAGATAGAATTCAAAATGATCTGAGTGCCAGGCGAGGTGGTGCACGCCTGTAATCCCAGCGGCTCAGGTGGCTGAGTCAGGAGGATCGCGAGTTCAAAGCCAGCCTCCGCAAAAGCAAGGTCTAAGCAACTCAGTGAGGCCCTGTCTCTAAATAAAATACAAAATAGGGCTGGGGATGGGGCTCAGTGGTTGAGTGCCCCTGAGTTCAATCCCCGGTACCAAAAAAAGAAAGATTTGAGAAAATTCCATGAGATGTTTAGCAAAATCCTTTAAACACTAAATTTTTAAAAATGTAGTTACATACAATTCAGGAAGACACAGTCTGCCAACAGAAAGAAGATTCTTTATAGGCCACATAAACATGTCCTAGCACTTTGGAAAGGAAGTAAAAATAGCACCCACTTATACAGAATTTACTCTGTGCCAAACACAGAGTATTTATTCTAACTATTTTACACGTATTTATTAATATAATCCTCCCAAAAGCCCTTTGAACTAAGTCACTATAGTCCTCTCCATTTAACAGATTAGAAAACTGAGGCTCAGAAAGCTTAAGTGAGTTCTTCAAAGCAAGTCAGTGGCAGAGCTGGCCTTGAACCCAAGCCATCTGGCTCCAAGATTGCCTTTCTCTGACCCTGGTGGGTGGGGCTGAGGCCTCCTGGAGGCTTGCTTCTGACATAACTAATGGAATTTAGAGCAGCAGGAGGCAAGTCAGAGGCATTTGTTGGGAAAAGAATTGTGTTCCACAGAGAGCTGGCAAGGAATATAGCTGATTGGCCGGCTGATAAGAATGGAATGGGGTTTGGAGAACTGCATATTCTCATGAAATAAACATGTGATTGTGACCTTCCAGAAGTGACAGAAACTATTCAAACTATCCCATTTTTATCTTTTCTCCCCTCTTAGCCTTCACATTAGACTGGGCTGTCCTGGCAGAATCTTGCTCAAAACTGGCTATGCCTTTCCAAAGCCAAATCAATGCTTAGACACATACAACCTGGGAAACAAAGATACATCCTGCCTTGGAAATAACAAAAAGACAGTTTTGTTGTGAGTTAAGGTTATGGCATCTTACACAAAAGCTCCTCACCTTTTCTGTGGATGCAGGAACTTGAAGTCCAGAAAGATTAAATATGATTTGCCAAAAGTCACAGAACCTGGATGCCGTGCTTCTTATACATACTACAAATGGTAGTTAGCAGCCCACAGGATTAGCACCACCTAGGAGTCTGTTAGAAATACAGAATCACAGCCAGGCATGGTGGTGCATGCCTATAATCCCAGAGACTCGGGAGGTTGAGGCAGGAGGATCATGAGTTCAAAGCCAGCCTTAGCAACTGCGAGGCACTAAGCAGTTCAGTGAGATCCTGTCTCTAAATAAAATATAAAAAGGGTTGGGGGTGTGTTTCAGTGGTTAAGCACCCCTGGGTTCAATTCCTGGTACCAAAAAAAAAAAAAAAAAAGATAGCATCTCAGCCCCCCACTGCAGACCTGCTATATCAGAATCTGCATTTTATCAAGATTTCCAGGCAAGCCATATAAATATTAAAGTCAGAGAAGTACTGCAATGATAACTAAGTCTATGTTATTCATTTTCAAGATATTTTAGTTGCAGGAAGGGTAGTTATTATTGATTCTATATGTTACACATGCAGCACTCTCTTGTAAGGTATAATCTCTGTCTCACTGTGTAATTTAACTTGAAATTATCTTCCTGATGCAAAAAAAAATATTCAGTGTGTTTTTATAGTAGATCTAGACCTTTTAACACCGAGTTATTCCTTGGTGAGCAGACATTAAGGCTTCAAATGTACAAAATTATGTCTCTTATCAGACCCACAGAGAAATGACCAATAGCCCTCAGTGACTCACACTGGTGTCCTTTCTTCAAAGCAGATTAATTATCTTTCCCAAATTGCAGCAAATCCTGTTAGTATAGATGGCAAATATAAATTTCAGCCCAGTTCCTGCCTGGGCTAACAAAGGTTACCAGAATAATAACACCTACTACTTACGTGGTGCTTAAAATGTGTTCAGCACTATTCTGAGAGCTTATTGTATAAAAGGTCACTTAATCCTCACAGAAACCCTATTTTATGGATGAGAAAAGTGAGACACAGAGAAATTAAGTGGCTTGCTCAAGACTGCACAGCTGGTTCATGGTAGGTATTCTAACTCACCATCTCCAGAGTCCACACAGGTAAGTACTGACCAGTGCTGCTTCCAGAAATCAAAATTTAATGCTACTCATGGTTCAAAGAGGCTCTTAATATTAAAATGCTCTCAAATCAAAGAGAATATAATTCACTTTAGAGATTTTACTTGACAAAAAAGAAACAATAGAGGCTAGCAGCTACCAAAACATTATTTGAAAAAGTTAAGAAATGGGACTGGGGATATAGCTTAGTTGGTAGAGTGCTTGCCTCCCATGCACAAGGCCCTGGGTTCAATCCCCAGCACCACACACACACACACACACAAAAGTTAAAACATTACCTCTGGTTTCTAATTCCTGGTTGCAATTGTAACACCACATGGTCTCCTGCTTGGAAATGCTTTAAAATGTCCTGCCTATAATTGGAACCAGCTTCAACCTTAAAATTGCCTTGTGTTTTCTATAAATGAAAAACATTTGTAAACTCTAAGGATTCATGATATTGCTGGCTTTGCTTATCTGTTAAATCACTGGTCCAAGTTCTCTTTTTAGCTGCAGACAGCTCAAATCTTTTTCTAAATGAAATCTTACAGATAATTCCAATACACGCAACCAGACAGTCTTGTGCTTTGGCTGAAGGGGAGGAGGAACTACCTGCCTTCCACCATCCACTCCCTGAAAGTTATGTCCCTAGAGTCCTAGAGTCCCAGAAACACAATGAAAAAATATCACATGGGATAGAGGGAACAGTTTCACAACTGCATTAACAAAGCTCCCCTTAGACCTCTCTGTCTGACACTATACCCAGTGATGTCCTTTGGCCTAACTCCAGGAAGGCCTCACAGGATGCTAACTCTCCTCTGCAGACTGAAAGAGAGGAAAGTCTTCACAAATAGTGGAAAAGGGCACTGTTTAATGCTGGGCAAAAGAGAAACGGGTCACAGAAACACAAAGAAAGGTCATTTCCAACTGAGGCAAAGTAAGCAATAGGCCTTCCAGCGGGTGGAGAAAAGTCAGCTATGCTTCACAGAGAGAACTTGGAATTTTTTTTTTCTTCAATTACTTCTGTGTACACTGGAAACAAAAAGCAAAATAATACATGCATCGAGACATGGGATAGGTTCAAAAACTGTGGTTATAATACAGAAGAAAGAAAAACTGGTAAATCCCAACCTATAATCATAACCAGTCTGTTAACCATGTAATACATCCTATTGAGTGGTAAGTTAGCAGCCACTGCCAAGGCATTATCCTCATTGGTACACATAAAAAGTTAAAATTAAAATACTAATAAGTAAGTATTTCAAATAGTTTTAAGTGTTGGTGGTCTGCTGGAAGAATGACAAAGTAGTTCCCAAGATCTTCATGTTCTCGTGGCCAGGTACCAGACCCTTCACAGATCCCCTCAGATCACTTTTGATCATTTCTGGGACCCCCTCTAGCCCCAAAGTCAATGGCCATAACCAATGACAAGTGGATGTGGGGGAATGAATGCCTAGCTTCCTTGCCTGGGGCGGGTAAGGATAACACTGAGTCAGACCCATCTTCCACCATCCCTATCAGGATCAGGTTAAAGCCTCCCTCTTTAGGACTTTGCCTGAGATGGTACCCTTGCTTGACTTCCTCCCCAACTTTGTCCTGCTTCCTTTTCCTATTCCCAGGAGCACTTTCCTTAAAATCACTTGCCCAGGAGCCTGCATCTCTACAGGGTCTGCCTCTGGGAAACCCCACCTCCAATTGGCTGGTGTGAGGAATCAGCCTCCCCAGCCAGCGGTTCCAGTGTGTAAGAGCACAATGCTTGCCACACTTCTTTCCTCCCATAAACATGTCCATAATGTTTACATCAATTGATTCTATGTGACAAAAGGTGGGGCCCTAAACCTAAACAGTACAAAGTCTCAGCTATACACAGGGCATGTTGTGTATGGGTTAAATAAAGGGTCAAATTAACTTTTAAAAACCACCTCTGTATACTGCAGTAGTGTGCTTCCCTTACTTACTAAGTTGGTCATAAATAATCTACATAAATCTTTATGGAGCAGAGTGGGTCCTGTTCTTTGTTCTCTTGTTTGTTTCTTAAAGGCAGCAATCTTGTAGTGCCAATGCGTTTTAATTCAAAGCATTGAATAGATACTACAAGTGAAAGGGATTAGGATAAATCTGCACACATATTAAGACATACCTTGAAAATTGCTTTTTGACCAAATTCTTACATGGATATGTACCCTTGTAATTTTCTTAACTGTATGAGTTTGCACACAGCAAAAAAAAATTCTGGGTTCCCTTAGGTTGTACTTATTCTGATACCTCTGAAGCCAAGATCATCCCGTGAAACACAAACTATAATAAACCTTGTGAGAGCCAACAATGGGGCCAGCCCTATGTTACCTCATGCCCCACATTTCACAGACATACAATAACAATATGGCTTACCTTTATTCCCAGGGCTTCTCCAGAAATGACAGCAATTGTCACACCATCCTTACTGGGCTTGGGGATCTCTTCACTTTTCAGTTCCTGGTACTGTGGCTCCACCATCTTCTCTGAGCTTCTCAAATTAACCCACAGTTGCAGACCATGGGCTGGCTCCTCAGAGCAAGGCATCTCAGCGTGCAGAATGCCCCGGCCAGCGGTCATCCACTGCAAACATCAAACCAACAGGAAAGATAAGGTAGCCCAGCCCCTAACACATCTGCATGTGGGACAATTACAACATCATCTCTAAGTGATGTATCTTACAGGTGCTGCTCTCACAGTCCTTGGGCAATATGAGAAATAACAAACATCAATGAAGATTGCTAGAGCCCTTTCCAATTTTCCAAACGCTTGCCATGCTGCTTCATTTGAAATTGAAGCATCAGAAATGGAATTCCTGCACATGGAAGAATCCTCTCCAGGATATCCCTGAGTGTTAGGTTGAGCTCCAAGGTGGAGAGTTGCAGGCAGACAATATATTGGGGAGCACTCTTGGGAGATACAACTTAAATGAAGAAAGCAGTATTGGGCAGGGGGAGAAGCCAACCAGCAATGCAGTTACAACACAGGGCTGAACCAATCTGGAATAGAGAAAAACCTTTAGGAATGTCCCAAGTTGGGGCAACGTGGCCAACTTTTGGAAAGGAGAGATGGAGCAATGAGCCATCAGCAACCAGTATGCCCAGCACCTGGAAGATATATGTGTGGGTCTAAATACACATGTGGTGTTACCTTGTTTTTTTTTTGGTCTGTGTGTATATATGTGACTGCATGACCAATATGTGCTCGGGTTGTGGTTTAGCGGTGGAATGCTTGCCTAGCATGTGTGAGACACTGGGTTCGATTCCTCAGCACCATATAAAAATAAATAAAATAGAGGTATTATGTCCATCTACAACTAAAAAAAAAAAAAAAGAAGAAGAAGAACATATTAGGGGCCAGCTCCAAAAACTAACCTTGGAACTTGGGAGTGAAGGGATGGAGCCCAGCCTAAGGGGTACATTTCCTGCTTGTCTTAGCTTGGGTTATGCCACAGAAGAACCTGAAACAAGGGCCTATCTTCAGGTAGTTTATTTGGAAAGTGATGCAAAAGCACAAGTGCAGGTGATAGGGCAGAAAGCCACAGACGGGTATTAGTGAGCAGGGTATCTGGACACCTGGGACTCAATATCACTGGAAAATACACTTTAGAATTACTGCATGGAGGAGAAGGGAATCTAGGACATTTAAAAAATTTTTTTTCTTTTTTAATTTTCAATGGACCTTTATTTATTTATATGCGGTGCTGATAATCGAACCTAGAGCCCCGCATATGCTAGGCAAGCACTCTACCACAGAGCACAACCCCAGCCCAATCTAGGACATTTTGATTTCCATTTCCATCCCTCCATATTCTTGGCACATCAAGGCTGCTGGTATATGGGCTGAAGAAAGCCCTCCAGAAGAGTAGCAGCACTGGAGATGCTGTGCTGTGTACACACCTAAGAACTGTCATCACCTGAACTCAGAGGTGGGCCAAGAAGCTATGAGGCAATATCATCCTCCATCCAGCCCTTATGGGAGGAAACAAATCCTTAAATAAATCATTGCATAAAATCACTCTTGACTTCACAATTGCACTCAGCACTGTGCCAAGGTTCTATGAGAGCATATGATGTGGTGGTGCAGTTCAAAATAGCTTACCCGAAGGTGAAACTTTTAGGCAGAGTAAGGATTGACTAGGGGAAGGGGGAGAGAAAGAGGGCTCCAAAAGGTAACAGTAGCATATGATAAAGGCTTTGAGGCAAGAATCAGCATTATTAGTGCAAGGACCAAGAAAACCAGTCATATGTTAGAGATTTTTTTCCTTCATTAAGTTTAAATAGATTTCTCTCTATCGTCCATTTAACAAGGCTGATTAAATCTGAGATCCAAAATTTGTTTTGTCTGACAATAGCTATTGGTGTTCTTCAAAGACATCCTCCCAATTTAAAGCATTTTCCTGTTCCATCAAAGTTCATCTCTCCATAGTTTCAATGCTTTGTTAACCTTTTCACATAACCTAGGTTAGGAATACTTTTCTTAAAATGGCCCACCCATTGGATTTACAAGGGGAGAAAAAGGTTCTCTTTCCTCACTATTTGCTAGCTCTGCAGCCATGGGCATCTTTTTATTTTTTTAACATTTTGAAATCCTTATTCTCTCATTTTTAAAATGAAATAAAAACAGTACTTACTTCAATGAGATCCTTCATGTGAAAATGCTAAATAAACTGAAAAATACTATGCAACCACCATCCTAACCAAACGTGAAGTTATAATGATAGAAGTGTCGGCCAACACCTCACATATATGGCTGCAGAAACAGCCTGATGATGTCACTGGCAACAGTCCCCGCTTCCCATAATCTGGACACACCCACTCATCATGTCTACCTTTCCAGACGGGCTCTATTTTATGTTCTGCTCCAGTGAGAGGTTACTATTGACTTTTCACCATGACTTTTTGTCCTTTTTGCTTTTCTGTCTTTAAATTTTGTATTCTTTGAAACACCATAATTCACATATGTGCATTTATCATCCCACAAATATATAAATGATCCCAGAGAGTATCCGATACAGTGTTCAGATTTCTAGAACTGACAAAGATGATCCAAGCACTTCTTGGGGATTTTTAATTATCATATATCTCAGGTAAGACTGGGATGGGGCAGGAGTTTGGGTTATTATCTTAAATGACAACACCTAATCCTGCAATTGAGTTAGAAGATAAGTAGTAAATTATCTCTGATGCTTCAGAGAGATCTAGAAAGATGAGGACTGAATTTGGCAATTGGGACATCACAAGTGATTACTGCCTGAACCATTTCATAAAGCTTTGAGAAGGGGCTGCTGAGAAACCAATCTGATTCAGTAAGCAGAAGGGGGGAAATGGAGGAAAAAGAAGCTGAGATAGTTGCTCTTGATTATTCTTTTGAAAAACGTGGGGAAAAAAAAGATAGTTGGGAACCAGAAAGTGACTGAGGGGGTCAAATACACCTGTGCAGGTTTCCAAGCTAAGTGGAAGGATCCATAAAAAGGGAGAGATCAAGCCAGGCCCAGTGGGATACACCTGTAATACCAGCAGCTTGGGAGGCTGAGGCAGGAGGATTTCGAACTTAGTCAGTCTCAGCAAAAGTGAGGAGCTAAGCAGCTCAGCAAGACCCTGTCTCTAAATAAAATATAAAATAAGGCTGGGGATGTGGCTCAGTGGTTGAGTGCCCCTGAGTTCAATCTTTGGTAGCCCCCCTCCCCCCCCCAAAAAAAAGGGAGAGGTCAGAAATAGTACAGACAGAGGACAGAAAGCGTGAATGTACTAGAAATGAGCAAGATCAAGGACACACCCAAAGACTATTAAACCATCAGCAATCCCTTCCCCTTAGCTATACCTGCAGATCTCCTGGGTTCATTTTACCAACATGTCCACAGAAGTCTTCATGGGCCATGCTTCCCCCTTCCAGAAGATAAGATACCTTTAAAAAACAAACAGAAGAAAAAGTAGATCCTCTGCCCAATTTAAAATTCGATTATGTGTGGTTTCTTGTTATTGGCTTGTATGAGTTCCTTATCATGGTTTGCAAACTATTTTCTCCTATTTCAAGTTGCTTTCCCATGGGGGGAGAAAACGGGCAAAGAAACTGAATACATATTTTTTCGAAGAAGACATAAAATGACCAACAGGTATAAGTGAAAATATTTAGCATCACTAATTATCAAAGAAATGCAAATCAAAACCACAATACCATATGAATTCACACCTGTCAGGATGGCTATTATTAAATGGCCAGAATATAATGAGTGTTGATGAAGATGTGGCGTAAAGGGAACCCTTATATATTCCTAGTTAGAATGTAAATTGGTAGAGCCACAATGGAAAACAGTATAGGCATTCCTGAATAAATTTAAAAAACAGAACTATCACAGGATCCAGCAATCTCATTTCTAGGTATATATTCAAAAAGTAAATAAAATTTTGAAGAGATATCTGCTCTCCCATGTTCACTGCAACACTCTTCAGCCAAGGTCTGGACACAATCTAAATGTCTGCAAATGGGTGAGTAGATAAAGAAATTGTGATATAGTAAAACATTATTCAAAGTCTTAAAGAAGTAGGATATCCTGTCATTTCCAACAGTATAGATGAAGCCAGAGGACATTATGTTAAGTGAAATAAGCCAGACTCAGAAAGACAAATATTGCATGATCTCATTTATAGAAACAGAAAGTAGAAGGGTGGTTACCAGGGATCAGGGACAGGAAAAATACAGAAATGTAGGTCAAAGGGTATAAACTTGCAGTTATAAGATCAAAAATTTCTGGACACCCACTGCACAGCATGTAATTAGAGTTCTTAATAATGCACTGTATATGTGAAATTTGATAAGGTAGTAGATCTTCAGCATATACACACATACAAAGTAACTATGTGAGGTGATAATCATTCCATATTGAATACATGTATCAAAACATCACATTGTACATTTTTTTAACTTGTCTTCTGTATCTCAATAAAACTGGGGGAGGGGAAGACAAAAGTATCAAGTGTCAGGGAAGAGTTGTTTGATTTTTCCACCAAAAATTTGTTGAGGAAAATGTCAAGAGTGCTGGGTGCAGTGGTGCCCTCAGTAATCCTAGTGTTTTGGGAGGCTGAGGCAGGAGGATCACAAATTCAAAACCAGCCTTAGCAAAGGCAAGGTGCTAAGCAACTTAGCAAGACCCTGTCTCTAAATAAAATACAAAATAGGGTTGGGGATGTGGCTCAGTGGTTGAGTGGCCCTGAGTTCAATCTCTGGTACTAAAAAAAAAAAAAAAAATGTTGGGAATAATTAAGAAAGTAAAGCAAGCTGAGGGAGTCTCAATGACAGGGTCACACTACCCACCCATGCAAAGTCTTTGAGAGCATTTCAGATGCAACAGCCCTGGCATGCCAGAGCTCATAGCCAGTTACTGGGCTCACTCCCTCAGCAGGTAGATGATGGCCCTGTAGCTCAGGGTGAAAGAGGGTAACTCCTGTTGAAATAGTAAGGTCCCTGCTACCAAGGCCTTGTTCACAGGTTTGTGGGATGATGCATCTCAGATCTCCATACCTTTCCCTAAAAGCCAATTCAGAGAGTCCAAATGAAACATTTCTCACACCAGGCACACAAATTTACTAGGTACTCAATAAATTCTTATGAAATATGTCAAATAAATTCACATAAAGTCCACTTTTCTGGATTTATGTCCATATTGAATCTAAAAATGGAAATTCTGTGCTATCCAACAGAGTAGCCACTAGCCATGTGGGGCTGCTGAAGTTTAAATTAATTAAAATCAAATAAAATTTCAATTCAGCTCCTCAGTTGCACCAGCCACATTTTAAGTGCTCAATAGCCCCAAGTGGCTAATGGCTACCATAATGGATGGGGAATATTACAGAATATTTCCATCTCTTTTTTTTTTTTTTTTCTTGGTACCGGGGATTGAACTCAGGGGCACTAGACCACTGAGCCACACCCCCAGCCCTATTTTGTATTTTATTTAGAGACAGGGTCTCACTGAGTTGTTTAGGGCCTCACTGTTGCTGAAGCTGGATTTGAACTCATGATCCTCCTGTTTCAGCCTCCCAAGCTGATGGGATTACAGGCATGCGCCACCATGCCTGGCAAATATTCCATCTTTACAGAAATTTCTATTTGACAATATGATCTAGAAAAATGAATTTGAAAATCAACAGTCAACAATGGTGAGAATTTTGTATGGGTGGAAAACTCTGAAAAGCAGAAGAAAGTTGAGCCTCCCTCCTATCATTATTTTACTAAAAGAAAAAAAAAAATCAAGGGAGAAAGTACTGGGGAGTGTTATTGGCCAAATTATACTGCTATATCATGTGCATGTACAAATTACATAACAACATCTCACCATTATATACACCTATAATGAGCCAATAAATATGTGAAAAAATAATTTTTATAAGAAAAAAATCAAGCAGTTCTAAAATTCTCATTTTTAAGGCTATTATGATTACCCTAGAAAACAAGGATTAAAGAGAAACCAAATACTTAGAATTTTTAATTACCTAAGGGATGTGGTAATATTGTTTTTTGAAATGCACAATTTAGCATGTAAGACTTAAAATGTCATGTGTGTCAAGATACAAGGATCTCTTTGTACATTCTATTTAGATTTGACAACCATTTTGCTCAATTTGTAAACATTTGTGAAATTCATCTTTTACTCCTACAGGAATTGCCAATCAGCCTAGATAGTCCTGAAAGGAACATTAAAAAAATGCTGTTTATCTGCAAACCACTCAGGGCTCCTTACCTCAGGCTTAAGGGTAACAACTTCTAACATTTACATTATTGGATGACTTTTTCATACTTTAGCTATCTCAATATTTTCCTAATATCATTATCTTTTTTAATACCAGAAATTTCACTTCAAAATTTTATCAACCATTATTAAATGAATGAACCAGAAAAAGCCAATTGTGATTAAAATCCCAACATCTATTATTATGTATCTAGACTTAATTTTCAACCAAATATAGCAGTTTAAGTCAGTATTTAAAAAGAATGAATTATGCATCTTACCAACTTCTTGAACTTGCAACTGTTACCAATTCCCTAAATCTCAATTAAAAAAAGCAAGTGAAACTATTATTTAAAGAAGAAGGAAAAAAAAAAAACTATGCCGAAGAGGTAAGGAAAACTAGTTATGGGGCTGGGGTTGTAGCTTAGTGGTAGAGCGCTTGCCTTGCAGGCATGAGGCACTGGGTTCAATCCTCAGCATCATATAAAAATAAATAAATAAAATAAAGATATTGTGTCCATCTATAACTAAAAATATATATATTGAAAAAAAAACTAGTTATGTCTGGGCACAGTGGCCCATGCGTGTAATTTCAGTGGCTCCAGAGGGGCTGAGGCAGAAGGATCGATCACAAATTCAAATCCAGCCTCAGGAATTTAGCAAGGCCCTAAGTAACTCAGTGAGTGTTTTAGTCAGCTTTTTTTTTTTTTTCTGCTGCGACTGAAAGACCCAACCAGAACAACTGTAGAGGAGAAAAGGTTTATTCAGGGGATCATGGTTTCAGAGGTCTCAGTCCATAGACAGCAGGCTCCATGAGGTGGACATCATGGTGAGGTGAAGTAGACATCATGGCAGATGGAAGCAGCTCTAGGTGATGATCAGGAAGCAAGGGAGAAAGTCTCTACTCTCCAGACACAAAATATATACCCCATAGCCATGACCCAGTGAATCACCTCCTCCAGCAGCACCTCACCTGCCTCCAGTTACCACTCAGTTAATACCATCAGGGATTAAGTCACTGATTGGGTAAAGGCTCTCATAACCCAATCTTTCATTTCTCCTCTGAACCCTCTCGCATTGTGTCACACATGGACTTCTGGGGGACACCTCCCATGTAAATCATAACAGCAGGCTGGGGATATAGCTCAGTTGGGTAGAGTGCTTGCCTCGCACGCACAAGGCCCTGGGTTCAATCCTCAGCACCACAAAAACAAAACAAAACAAAAACTAAACCATAACAGCAAGACCCCATCTCATAAATAAATAAACAAATAAAAAGGGGTGGGGATGTGGCTTAGTGATTAAGTGCCACTGGGTTCAATCCCCAGTACCTAATAAAAAATAGGCCAACACTGTTAGGCCTCTTGTCTGAAATAAGTCAAAAAAAAAAAAAAAAAAAAAGGTGGGGGGGAGTGCTGGGGTTGTGGCTCAGTTGTAGAGTGCTTGCTTAGCAAGTGTAAGGCACTGGGTTTGATCCTCAGCACCACATACAAATAAATGAATAAAGTAAAGGTCCATCAACTTAAAAAAAAGAAAAGAAAAACTAGTTATGAAGTTCTTAACATATACATCAGATACTTCTGTTTTACACAAACATAATTATTTTCTCCTCTACACAAGAACCTCTCAAATATATTCAGGCTAGATTGCTTTTGTAGTATGTCTTTGCTTTATAACAAAGTATAAAAAGTAGACCTAAGTAGCCATTTAACATGAAATTCAAAAAGTTATTTTATAAGTCATAAGTGACAATGGGTTTTTAAAAAAATCATTTTTCCTATAAATTTGTGTTGGGGAAAATAATCATAAGATCATCAATTCAAAGGTATCAAACCTATGATAATCATTTAAAAATATTAAGAAGATGAATTCATCTACACTATTCCTTTATAAGTTCTATATATCATGTTGGGAGAAGATTAAAAACAAAAAGAGTAGATAAGACAGATATGTTAATTGTCTTCATGAAGCTTCTATTCTCATGGGAAAGACAAATATCAGGCAGGAAGTAAAACAGAGAACTTGCATCCTGCCAAGTTAGAACATGGTGCTGATAAGGACAGGTGGGTATTTTACTCACACTTTGTGTGCAAGGTAAAGCTCCTCAGAGGAGGTGAGGGATAGGAGTATACCAGGAAAAAAAAAGATGGTGGTGGTGATGGGCAGGAAGTGTATTCCA